AACCTCAGGGAGGTCCCTGGGCTGGCACAGCTGGCTGCCTCCTTTCCTGCTCAGACCCTCCCAAGGAACCATGGGGGAATCCATGCCCCCTCCTGCCCAGCAGGCTCTGGCTCAGGGGCTTCCCAGTCAACCCAAGCCTTCCCCCTACCTGGTCCCCAGGAGACCCACCGGCTGTATCGCCTGAAGTTGGAGGAGCTGACCAAACTGCAGAACAATTGTACCAGCTCCATCACTCGACAGAAGAAGCGGCTCCAGGAGCTGGCCCTCGTCCTGAAAAAGTTAGGACCACCCCCCGCAAGCTCCCCCATGCCTCCCCATGCCCCCCTGGCCTTGGGCTGGGGTAGGTGGCTGGCCTGGTGGGGTGGAGGGCTGGTGCTGACTCCTGGAGTGTTCCCGGGCATGGTTTCTCCCCTCTCTGGGCCCGGTTTGCCCTCCTACCCTGCAGGTGTCCGGCATGATACCTAGGGCCTCCTGCTTTGACTCTGGCTTCTGGGGCCCCACCTGCAGATGCAAACCCTCCCTCCCATCGGGGCCAGAGGAGGCTGCACAGGAGCTGGAGAACCAGATCAAGGAGCGCCAAGGACTCTTCTTCGATATGGAGGCCTATTTGCCCAAGAAGAATGGGTGAGACCCCTCCCCCGAGCTCAGTTCACAGCCACTCCTGGGAAAGAGGCCTGAAGCCCTGTCTTCCTCTGCTTGGTCATTCAGTCAGCAAAGTTCCCTGGACCCACTGTGGGCTGCGCACTCGAGCATAGCCCCACGTCAGGGGAGACAGCCCATGTGACAGTGATGGCTCACCACAATGAATGCTTTGTGGGGGAATACAGGGAATGGGGGAGCACAGTGAGGCTCCTAACCCGGCCCGGGAGGTCAGAGCGAGCCTCCTGGAGTGGGTGATGCCTGAGCTAAGTCGTAAAGGGTAAAGGAGTGAGCCAGGCAGAGATAGGAAGGCGGTAACGACAGGTGTGGTGGCCAGAACTCAGGGTAGGAGGTGAGAGGTCACGATACGACCAGAGGGGGAGACAGGCTGCAGAGCTTGTCTTGGCCCAGGAGGCAGGGGAGAGTGATGGGTGAAATATGTACTTAGGTCAGCTGTCGTCACCCAGGAGGATGGGCAGGGGACAGTGCAGAACCCTGGGCTGAGCAAAAAACATGCAGCAGAGACTGTAGGCAGCAAGACAACAGAGAGAGAGCATGTCCCAGAAGGCAAGGAAGGAAGGAGTGGTCAGTAGCCTCAGATCAGATGGCCCAGGGGGGTCAAATGCTATAAGGAAGGGGAAATATTTCCTGGAAGTTGGGGTGACCTTGGAGAGAACTGCTTCCCAGGGTGGTGTGGGTGGAAGTTGATATTGAGGATGACAGGAGAGCTGAGCAGAGAGCCAGCCAAGTTTAGGCCACTCTTCAGAAGCTTGGCTGTGAGTAGAAACAGAAACTGGTAACTAGAAACTGGTCATTAGAACTTGGCATGAGGGTCGAGGGGCAGCTTTTGCTTGGGTGGATGTGTAACTTTATTTGCACATAGGAAAGACTCGGGCATATCTACTGCTGAGCGGGGGGCGGGGGGACAACAGAGGGGAGAGACCCAGGAGAGGGGTGCTAAGCCATGGAGGGAAGTGCCTGGGGAGATGGGAAGGGCTGGGCTGGGCCCTTCCTATTTGTGATGGGAAGTGTGCAGAGAAGAGGAGGCGGCAGCAGGCAGGGAAGATGTCGGCTGCCAGGAGGGAGACAGGATGGAGGGTTTGGGGGAGAGGGTTTGACGGGGCCACCGCTGAGATTGGGAGAGGCAGCCTGGCAGGCTAGCTGGAGTCCCGCTGTGCCCCTTAATCTCTTCGCAGCCTTGGGCAAGTCCCTTAACCACTCTGAGCCTGTCCATATGGCTTGAGTGTGAACAAGAGCCCCTCTATGGGTGCAGCTGCCTAGTACACGCCTGACTTTCTGGTTACCTCTCGGAGTTTCTCTGGAGGAGAAGGAGGACGAGCTTCATTGGTGGGTGTGATGGCAGTGCAAGGAGCTGGGAGTCACAGAGTTGGCAAGAAAGCAGTTGACATGTGAAGGAAGGCGTGGGGACTCGGCTGGCTCGGGAAAGGAGACCAGGGTCAGGAGGGCCTGGGAGCCTCAGCGAGGGGGAGGGTCCGTGGTGAAATGGGGGCTGGGTGGGAGGTGGGCACGCAGGGTCAGAATACAACCAGTTTCCGAGGAAGCTGTTCTGGGTTGGGAGGAGGTCCTAGGGTGGCCATGGGTGTGGGTTGCTACAGTGAACTCAGGTTCTCGAAGTAGCAGGAACTGTGGGGTAGGTGAGAGATGGTGATCACACACATGGGCGTTGGGTCCACTGCCCAGGCGATCTGAGATGTGGGCATGGCTTCCAGTGGGGGGAGAGCCAGGCTGGCCTTGAGGCCCTGAGGTGGGAGGGCTTGGGGGAAGAGGAGGGAGGGAGGGGTGTCAGTTTACCCTGGAGCAGGCAGGGAGAAAGGCTGAGCATGTGTTTCCCATGTAGTTGGTCTGCACATCTCCAAGGTCAGAACCCTAAGCCAAGGCCATGGGAAGGCTGGGTGGGATGGTGACCCAGAGCTGGCCTGGCCCACCTGGGGGCTCTGTGCCCTTTGGCTTCCTTCTGTTGGGGCCTCTCCTCACCTGGTCTCCCCCACTCCCTCTAGGTTGTACCTGAGCCTGGTTCTAGGCAACGTCAACGTGACCCTCCTGAGCAAGCAGGCTAAGTAATTTGTAGTTGTGGGCTGGGTCTCAACCCTGCTCTCCACCCTCCTGGGTCCCTTCCATTCTGCCCCAGCTTCCCTGCTAAGCCTTGGGGTTCAGGGGCTGCTCCCCCGTGCTGGCCCTGTGCCACCCACAGACGTGTGTCCAGAGCAGGAGCCTCCCTCTTTGGGCAGAGGCGAGGGTAGGCCCCGCCAGCATCCCAGCCTGTCCCACGAGTGTGTGCCCACCCCAGGTTTGCCTACAAAGACGAGTATGAGAAGTTCAAGCTCTACCTCACCATCATCCTCATCCTCATCTCCTTCACCTGCCGCTTCCTCCTCAACTCCAGGTGGGTGTCCTGCTGCTCAGGGCTGCACCCTGCAACCTCTCCAGGCTCTGGCATCAACTCTCTGTACCCCTCCCCAGGGTGACAGACGCTGCCTTCAACTTCCTTCTGGTCTGGTATTACTGCACCCTGACCATCCGAGAGAGCATCCTCATCAACAATGGCTCCCGGTGGGTGAGGGCGGGGCCTGACCCCAGCTCCTGAGGAGGGTGGGGGGCACTGGAGCTACCCTAGAAAGTTGGGGGGCTGCCGTGGCCCTCTGAGGAGGAGGAGCTGGGCTGCGGTTCTGGGTTCTTCCCACCTTAGCCCCACTCCCTGTCCCCAAGCACTGATCCTGGGGGCTGACGGGACAGGAATGACAGTGGCTTCCTGATACAGGATCAAAGGCTGGTGGGTTTTCCATCATTACGTGTCCACATTCCTGTCAGGAGTCATGTTGACATGGTGAGTGGCCCCACGTGGCTCCCAGGGCCCCTGTGAGGGGAGCTGGGACAGGGAGATGGCGTCCCTGAGCTCCCCACATTCCCCTCTGCTTTCTGCCTTAGGCCTGACGGCCTCATGTACCAGAAGTTCCGGAACCAGTTTCTGTCCTTCTCCATGTACCAGAGTGAGTGTCTCAGGGGTCCCTGCTCAGCTCAGGACTCGCCCGTGGGGAGGTGGGGGGAAAGGACTCCGGGCTCCAGCCCAGTCCTGATGCCCCGCCCCCAGGTTTTGTGCAGTTCCTCCAGTATTACTACCAGAGTGGCTGTCTGTACCGCCTGCGGGCCTTGGGCGAGAGGCACACCATGGACCTCACCGTGGGTGAGTTGGCACGGCGGCCCCTCTGGAATCCTGCAGAGGACGCTGGGAAGGCGGAAGTTCTTTCCTCTTGACTTGGGTCTGAGTGATGGTGTCGTCTCTGTCCTTGGTTATTCTGTGCCCTGCCCCTTCTCCCCCGCAGAGGGCTTCCAGTCCTGGATGTGGCGGGGCCTCACCTTCCTGCTGCCCTTTCTTTTCTTTGGACATGTAAGTGTATCTGTGTGTGTCCCCGTCCATCTCGCTGTCCCTCCTCTGCTCCGGCTCGAGTAGCGACTGCGTTCTACTCTGTAAATCCCTCCTCCCTCCCAGTTCTGGCAGCTTTTTAACGCGCTGACGTTGTTCAGCCTGGCCCGGGACCCCGCGTGCAAGGAGTGGCAGGTGAGCTGGGGGCCCTGGGAAGGAAGCTGGGAGGGCCAGGGCCTGGCCTTCGTCCTAACCCCGATTCCTTCCACAGGTGCTCATGTGCGGCCTCCCCTTCCTCCTCCTCTTCCTTGGCAATTTCTTCACCACCCTGCGGGTTGTGCACCAGAAGTTCCACAGTCAGCGGCATGGGAGCAAGAAGGAGTGAGGCTGGGCCTTCCCCTGCCTGCAGGCACGGCTCCTTACAGCACCCCTGGCCTAGAAGGGGCTTCTGTACGCCACGTGTTGAGGGAGTGGGGGATCCCCTCGTCCTGGTCTCTTCTGCTCTCCCCTGGGTTTTGTGGGCTCTGTGGGCCCCTAAGGCTATGCTGGGGAAGAAGACCTGGGCCTGGGTCCCAGCCCTGCTGGGGGCCAGCCGCCTCAATAAATGGAGAGGCACAAAGGTGGCTTGAGGTGTGTTCTGAGGGTACGGCAGGGGCTTGGTGGCTCTCTGTGCCACCACGGGTTCTTGGGGCTCCTGAGCTGTTTGTTAGTCTCTCTGGGGTCTAAGTAGACCCAGGTGGGGCCGGCCCCGTGGCTTAGCAGTTAAGTGCGTGCGCTCCGCTGCTGGCGGCATGGGTTCAGATCCCGGGCGCGCACCGACGCACTGCTTGTCCGGCCATGCTGAGGCCGCGTCCCACATACAGCAACTAGAAGGATGTGCAGCTATGACATACAGCTATCTATCTAGTGGGGCTTTGGGGGGAAAAAAAAAAGATTAAGTAGACCCAGGTGGAGGCCCCAGATCTGCTCAAGGCAAATGCAGAAAACAGAACTTCATTCCAAGGGCCAGAGATTATTTAAAATTATTTACACTCATTGAAAATCACGTGGCAGGGCCAGGGCCCAGCTCAGCTGAGAGAAGAGCCCCTTCTGTACTGCCACCGAGGGTCTGAGGTGTTCACAAAGTGCGGGCTGGGTCACCCTTGGCCATGTGCCCTGGGGCTAGGGGGCTCTGGAGGGCACATCTCTGGCCCAGAACAGTCTTTGTCACTGGGCCTGCCTCCTGTAGCAAGGCCCAGTGGAAGCCGCCCGGGAGACCAGCAGAAGGGAGTGAGGAAAGTGATTACGTGGGGAAGCAAGTCTGTAAGGTGTGAGGGCAGAGCAGGGCTGGGCCAGGCTGCTCCTAGCTCCACACGTCCAGCGAGTAGCGGCCCTTGGTCATCAGCTTCTTGATGTAGTCCACGGCCTGGGCGTGCTCCATGGCCCCCAGCTCGGCCACAATGTCGGAGAAGGTGTTCTGCACGTCCCTTGCCATGTTCCGAGCATCCCTGGGGGCAGGAAGGCGGTGACACGGGCTCGACAAGGGGCCCTTCCACAGGCAGGGCCTCGCACCTCCCCTCCTCTGCCCTCACTCACCCGCAGACATAGATGTGGGCGCCCCCCTCGTGGATCAGCTTCCACAGGTGCTCCTTGTCCCTCTGCAGTAAGTGCTGCACATAGACCTGGGGGCAGAGGGCAGTGCTGGTGAGGAGCGCTGTCCCGCAGCCCTCTGGCCCCCAGAGCAGCCTGCCCGCAGCCTCACCTTGTGGGCCTGCTCCCGGGAGAAGGCCACGTTGAGCTGGGTGAGAGAGCCATCCTTGTGGAACTGGGCCAGCTCCTCGCGGTACAGGTAGTCCTCATCAGACCGGCGGCAGCCGTAGTAGAGCAGCGTCTCCCCCACCTCCTTGCCTGGGGCAGCAGCGGCCAGGGTGAGCATGGACCCGGCCCCCCCCGCCCTGTCCCCACCTCCTAGGCCCCCACACTCACCTTGCTGCTGCAGCCAGGCCCGCTCCTGGATGAAGCCTATGAAGGGGGCAATCCCAGTGCCAGGGCCCACCATGACGACAGGCGTGGTGGCCTTGAAGGGCAGGCGGAACTGGGACTTGCGCACGAACATGGGCACCAGGGCCCGGCGGCCGTTCTCCCCAGCAGGCTCCTTGGCCTGCAGCCAGCTGGTGGCCACGCCCTTGTTGATGCGGCCAGACTTGGTTTCATACTCCACAACCACAGCACAAATGTGCACAGAGTTGGGGTGGACCTGGCGGGGGGTAGGGGGGCAGGAGTGAGCACAGCAGCCGTGCCGGAGGCCCCTTCTCGTTCCTGCCGCCCTGTCACCAGAGCAGCCTTGGCACGGGGGTCCTTGCCCAGGGCCTGTTCACACCCTCTGTGGCACCCAAACCTCCTCAAAGGCCCCTTCCCAGCAGCTTTCCTGAGGGGCTCTGGGCACGGGGGCTGGGAACAGTTTGCAGGCTTATTATGGTCTGGCTACTGGATACACAGCCTGGAGAATCCTGAGCGGACTGCCCAGGCATTTGGGGCAGAGCTGGGCCATGGCTCAGGGTGCCTGTGCACCTCCAAGGAGCCAACACTACACCTTCTATACGTGGGCTGGGCCTCCCCCACCTTGGAGGACGAGGCGATGGAGTAGTAGCGGGCCTGAAGACGAGGCAGCAGCTCACACAGGTGGTCGATGGGGGGCCGCAGGGACGGGTAGTCCTGCAGGATGGCCAGGATGTGCCTCCGAGCCTCCACGACCCAGCTCAGGTACAGCTCCTGAGGGAGACATAGAACGTGGGTGAGACACGGGCGAGGGGACCCAGTGGCCCAGGGACAGGGCTGAAGTTGGTGGCTTGGAGAATGGCTGGGTAGGGTGGCCTGGTGGGTGCTGGCTGGTAGCTGCAACTCAGGGCTGAGGTGGTGGCACTCTGGGTCCTGGGGGGCGGGTGGGAGTGGCAGGCTTACCTTGCCCTCGCCCGAGGAGGAGGCCATCTTGCGCAACTGTTCCTGCTCGGTGGGCTCCGAGGCGTACTGGGCCAGCTCGTAGAGCACATTGGTGCGTGGCGGGTTGGTGATATCCAGATAGTAGGTGAGGGCCGTACGGTAGGAGGTGGGGCAGGGGAATGGGTGCTTCTTGTTGGACTCCTCTGCAGGGAGAGAGAAGGCAGGGTTTGGGGTTAGTGGCCACCAGCCCGGATGGGGCGGGCAACGCCCCCAGGCCTGCTCTGCAGAAAGCAGGTGGCCCAGCTGGCACTGGAAGCAAGGCCAGCTCTTTCTGGTGCTTCCCTGGCCCTGGGGCAAAGCCTCAGGCTTTCGGCCAGCCTTACGCTTCAGGCTGGACAGGTAGTCCTCAACAGAGGCGCTCACTCTCCCCCTCCAGGAGAATCTGAGCCCCTGTGGGGGACCCCTTTGCTGAGGGCTGCTCAGAGAGAGGGCGGCAGAGGCAGAACTCCCCAGTGTGTCCTATCTGACTGGGCTGGGCCTGGCCCACTGTGGGATGCAAATACTGGGGCCTTCAGCTGTGATGGCAGGGTCACCTCCAGGTCAGTTTTGTGCTTGGACACATGTGGAGGTCTACACATGGGGCACCCAGAGGCCGAGCTCTTGGTGCGGCGTCCTGTACACGCCAGCTGCTGACACAGGCCCTATCGCCAGCCCTTGCTGGGACCTTTCGCCACCACCAGTCAACAAGCTGGCTTTACTGACCCCCTCTCTCCAATCAGGCTAGAGCGGAGCCCAGCCCGGGACGGTGGAGAAGCAGCTCCACGTCTTAGAGGTGTGCCCACGGGGCCTGTCTGTTCCTGTGCCGCTGCAGAACTGCTGAGGACATGTGGAGAGAGCCTGGCCCAGGATGGGGGCGCAGCGTTCAGGGGGCTGGGTCTATCCTTTGGAGGGGCTTGAACTTATTGAATTATGACCTGCATAAAGTGTACAAGTCATACACGTAGGGCTTGAAGGGTTTTCACAAACTGAGTGTCCTCAGGTATCCAGCACCCAGATCAAGAAGCAGGGTGCTCCCGGCACCGAGCCCTCTGGAGTGGGGCCCAGAAACCAGGCTCGGGCCTTGCACTCCAGGGCGGGCGGGGTGAGCGAGCACAACCTTTCTAAAGCCACACATCTGCCTTGAGTTCTGAGCCTCTGCAGCCCCGTCTCTCTGTGCAGCTCTCAGCAGTCAAGGCTCCTGCAGGGGCTCAGATTCTCCTGAGGGAGAGGGAGCAGCACAGCCTCCCCCAGCAAGGGCCTGCCGCTGACGGCACAAGGGACATGCCCCAGAGTGAGACAGGCCCGCGTGCGTACCACTGTGCTTCCACTGCTGGCACGACGAACCCTGATATAAATCAGCCCCCTCTGGTGCTGTTCCTCTCAAGGGCTGACTCTGGAACTGGAGCGGCCCAGGCTGGGGTCCCCGAGGACCAGGGTGAGCACAGCAGGGCCAGGCGGGGCTGGGCCCCAGGTCAGTGGACGGGGGGGCACCAGAGGGCTCGCGGCAAGCCAGCCCCACGTGGCCTGGGAGAGCCCTGCCCCACATTAGTGCCTCTTGTACTCGAAGTGCCCTAAACGGACCCGAGGGCTGTTAGGGTTGCTGACTCTGATCCCTGAGTTTACAGGTAAGGAGATGCCCTGAAGTAGAGAGAGGGCAGCCCAAGGCCCTCAGTGGCCAGTCATGGTAGAGCCAGGCCTGGGAACCAGGGCCCTGCTCTGCAGTCCCCTCTTCCTCACAGGATGTGGGGGTGGGTCGGCAGCCGGGGCTGGCTCTGTTTCCATCCACCCCTCCCTCCCTCAAGAGACTAAGCCAGTGTGGGGATAGGGGGACCCCGAGGGAGAGAGCCAGACCCAACAGCTACCTTTGCCCCCTGCCCTCTGAGTTTGCTTCAGAACCATGACTGTGGGTCTTGGGTACAAGGGCCTCTAGGGCACCAGAGCTCAGGCCTGCACACAAGTTCAACCTCTGGGCCTTGCAAAGACCATTCCTACCCGCCTCAGGCCACGCAGGGAGGGGGGTGGCCTGGATTCCAGAACTCACCATCGAGATTGTTTAGGGACATGATGACGTCCAGGTCAGCACCCAGGATCTCGCCAAGTTGGTTGACCAGGGCAGAGTCATTGGCCGGGTAAACGGCCACATGGTCCCCAGATTCATACCTGGGGGGAGATGCGAGGTTCAGGAGAGGGGGAAGGTGGCTCTGCACCCAGATCAGGAGCCCCCGGGTAAGGTTTGGGGGAGGGGTGGCAGCAGCTGGTACCTGATTTTGGAATCTGAGATGTCTAACTCCAGGTGCATGAGGTGTCGCTCAGTTCCCTGGTTCAGCTTCCGGTTGGTGGTGACTACGGCCAAGAATGGATTCTTGGCATCAAAGGGGCTGGGTGGGGAGGAAAGCAGCTCAGTGATTGTCCAGGTCTTCCATCTGAATCCCCCACCCCCAGGGGACTTTCGGGTTTCATGGAACACAGGGAACCTCAGAGCTGGCCTTCACAGGCCACGAGGAAACCTCACCAATTATGTAAAAGGTTCTCCCAACCGGATCCAAGGCAGTGCTCCCAACAACCCCACCAAGTGGGCAAAGCTCGGCTGTCAGTGTCCCCGTTTACAGATATGGAAACAGGCTGGCCCCTAAAAACCTGGGAGACCCTCCACCCTCTGTAGCCATTGGTGGGCTAAGTGCAAAGGAGGACCAGGCCCTTGAAGATGGCTCCCCAAGACAGAAGGTGCCTGAGGTCCCCGAGTGACGGTGTGGAGCAGAGCTCCCTCCTCTCACGTGCCCTGGACTGTAACTCTGTAAAGTCACTGAATGTTGGGGTTTCCTGTTACAGCAGGGTGACAGCAGGGCTGACTAAAGCAGGGCTGCTTGTCTCGAATCCAGTGGCACAAGGGGACTTCGTGACTGGCTCCAGCAGGAGTCTGGGCAGCGCCCTGGGGTAAGGCAAGTCAGGGCCCAAGAGAGGAACACTATGTTGAGGCAGATTTTAAGGAAGTGAACCCTTTTCCAGAGTGCAACTAGACCCAGAGCTGAACTCACTGTGTCCTGGTCCGGGAACCACGGTGCACCCCCGCCCCAGGATATCCACAGAGCCAAATGTCCAAGCAAATTAAGTACAAACTGAGCAAGTGCCAGTCTCCCAGAGGCCATGCCCTGGGCTGAGGGTCCACTGGGCAGGGAGGGGTCCCAAGGGCCCTGAGCACGGAGCAGCCCCCCTCCTGTGCAATGGAGGTGAAAATGTGGTGCCCCCACCCACACCACTCCTGGACAAGGGTGGAGATAAGGACATCCCACGGGATGGGGCCTGGGAGGAAAGGTCCTGTGGGGACACACAGGACTGCCAGCTGTTTGCTGTCCCCAGGCACCTGAAACAGGCGCACCAAGGGCCACAGGGCCTGGCCCCAACCACGCTCTCTACTCACGGTTTTTGGTTCTCATAGCTCTTCAGGCGGCCCATCTCGCCCGTGTACACTTTGGCCGTGTCTATGTCTGTGTGCACCACCAGCTCATACTGGCGAATGCTGGAAAGGGGAGACCAAGGGTGAGGCAGAGGCTGGGAGGTGGCAGGGGTCGGTGCCGAGAGGAGGGAGGCCGCCTCCTGGTGTGTGACTGAGGAGACAGTGCATGCTGCAGGGGGCTTAGGGACCAGATAGGACATACAGGCAGGAGATGCATGAGGATGGGGAGGCAGGAAAGAGCGAGAAGTGGGAGCTGGCACAGAGCTGAGGGAGGCCTGGGGTTCACCGGGCTTCAAGGCGATTCTGGAGAAGATAAGGAAAGCCCTCCCCGGACTCCCTGTCCCTTCCAGGCGAGGCCCAAGGTCCTTAGCCTGGGACCTGAGACCCTCCTGCACTCTGACTGAGCTTCTGCCAGCCCCACCCCGAGGTCTCCCACCCCCGGGAGGCACTCGCCCATGGCTCCCTGCCCCGTATGGGGGCACACACTCACCTAGAGTCCTCTCCTGTGGCTTCCACCCCAAAGTGCTCACACACAGCAGGCCAGAACTGCTCTCGCCACGTGATGAAATCCTCCTCCAGGCTGGGGAGAGAAGGGAATGAGCCAGGCCCTGGGGAGCCTGGTCGGGGCAGCAGGACCTGCAATGGGCTGGCTTCCCCAACAGCCCGGGTTCCAGGTGGGACTGCCAGGCCAGCCTGGACCCTCTGCCCCAGCACCTCCCAGAGCTTGAGGGCTCATTTCACTTTGGCCCGCCCGGTGAGCTAGCCGAAGGCATCAGGAAGGATCTAGAGGGTCTGTGCTAACCGTGAGTGGCTTCTCTCTGAGCTAGGCAGGCCAGGAGGACGTGGAAAAGCAAAGAAGGCTCACTCAGCAGGGGCTGGGGGGCAGAGGGGGCATCCCTTCCCTCGCCCTTGGTGAGGCGTGTCACGGAGTTACAGCAGACACCATGGCTTTGCACTCCCCTTATGTACCACAGCCAGCCCTAACCCTGTGGCTCCTGACCCCTGACAGCCAGGTCTGGGGGCTCGAGGGAGTGGGCACTCACTTTCCATCATCGTCGCCCATCCCCAGCTCAAAGATCCGCTGGGCACCGAGCTGCTCCAGCCGCTTGTCCACATACTTGCCCATGGCATTGAAGTGCTCATAGGTCTTATTCCCAAGGCCGAACACCTGTGTGGACAGACGGGTGGGTCTGAGGCCCAGCTAGTGGTCAGGGGTGGGTTTCCCCACAGTGCTGGCCAAGCTGTATCTGCAAGACACCTTGCACTGTGAGGTGGGCCAACTTTGGGCCCTGGAAGTGGCTTTGTTTTAGTGACCTACAGCCCAGGACCCCCTCCAAAGCCAGCCTCTAAGCCTTAACTCTGGGCCCTAGCAGGGGCAATTCACTCTCCCTGCCCCCTGGAGGAAAGTGGGGCTGGGGACACAGGAGGAGCAGCTCTCTTAGTGTTAGGGCCCAGGGCAGAAGAGAGGGTCGCCCCATGACCCCAGGGGCTCCCTGCCAGGTGCCCCTGTCCTGACACCTCTGCCTGCCCTGGCTGATCAGAATGAGGTGACAGCTGGAGGATTTCCTCTTGGACACAGGGGTCCAGAGGCCCTGGGGAGGCACTGCAGGCTGCCATGAGCCCACAGGGAGCCAATGGAGAGAAGATAGGGGGTGACTCACCGCATACTTGACTCCGGAGAGGTCCACGTCCGCCTCCTGGAGCCAGTCATAGAAGTCCTGGGCATTGTCAGTGGGGTCCCCCTCACCGTAGGTGGCCATGCAGAACACTGCCAGGGAGTTCTCTATCTCTGGCAGGCTGCCCAGGTCGGCCTGGAGAGACAAGGGCAGGGCTGGGACCAGCGACCATGACTGAGCCTGCTCTAGGTCAGGTCTGCACCTGACGGGATGCAGACGAGCGAGTCCAGGTCTCAAGAGGAGGGAGTGCATTTCTAGAGAAAAGGGACCAGCAGGCACAAAAGAGCATGTCTGAGGACCTGGGGTGCTGACAGGCCACCGGCCAGCATTTAGAATGTGGTTCCCTGTGTGTCAGGCCTGGGCCTCCATGGGAGAACTTCATCGGCCCACAAAGTCCTGGGGGCACAGCAGGGCCTGGGCTCTCAATTCCTAACCACTGTTCACAGCTCAAAACCCAGGTCTGGAGGTGGATGGGTGGCGGTGCCTGTCCCTAAGACCGAAGGCAGAGGGTGGAGCAGTGGGGGCAGTCTGGGTTGGGAGACGGAGGGCACACGCAGGAAGCAGCTGGCACTCAGCAGAGCGGTTCTGAGGGAAAGCACAGTTGTCATGTGGCTGGAGCTCCCGGAACAGCCTGACTGGTGACTGGCAGTGACCCCACGAGGGGAGAAGTGGGACAGCAACGCCCTGGGACTTCCTCCCAGACCACCTGCCCCCTGCCGGCCTACTCCCTCCCTAAGGATCCCTCCCCTTCCCTGTCCACTGTCCCCACCTGGGGCCGGTGGCCTCACTGTCATTAGCACTCCGGACCCAGAAGCATGCAAGCAGACTGCTGGAAGTTTCTAGCACTTTGGAGAGGCACAACCATGCAAGGGGAAGGAGCCAAGGCCCGGAGGAGAGTGAGCAAGGCAAGCCTGCCCCTCACAGCCCTCAGAGATAGGCCAGGAAGTTGGGATTCAGTCCTGCAGACAGTCCTGTGGTGGCCCTAAGGGGTGACCTGTCGAGGACGGCTTACAGGAGGAGGGGGAGGGGAGAGGGACCCTGCAGCTCCAAACGGGGGCTGTCCCCCCAGTTCTCAGGCTCTCCCGGCCCCTCCCTGGCTGCACTCTTCCGTTGGGCCCTGTCCCCACTCCTGTTCTGGCCCAGACACACGAGTTACTAACAGCCTCATATCAAAGCCTAGCTGAAGCGTCCCGGAGATGGCCTGTCCAACACCCTCATCCTTTATCTGCATACTAGGCAGGGAAGGCCCTCAGGGGCAGGGGCTCGCCCAGGGTCACAGGGGCAGCGAGGGCAGAGCGGGATCAGAGCCCAGATGCCCCGACTCCTCAATTCGGCTCCCCGCCGCTGCAGCTCGGGGTGGGGTTAAAGAGATGGGAAACAGTTCTTCTCTGGACCCGCTGAGACCCTTTCATTTTTCTTTTCTTTTTTTTTTTAAAGATTTTATTTATTTATTTATTTTCCCCCCAAAGCCCCAGTAGATTGTTGTACGTCATAGCTGCACATCCTTCTAGTTGCTGTATGTGGGACGTGGCCTCAGCATGGCTGGAGAAGCGGTGCGTCGGTGCGCACCCGGGATCCGAACCCAGGCCGCCAGCAGCGGAGCGTGCACACTTAACCGCTAGGCCACGGGGCCGGCCCAACCCTTTCATTTTTCTAAGCCACCCCCAATCCACTGAGTCCCTTCTGCTTGCACCTCCCAGCACTTGTAAAGCCACTGCGTGGAGAGCACCAAGGGCTGAGTATAAGCAGTGCTGGGAGCTCACACATGCACACCTGAGCCAGGTGTTCTTAATGTCCTTAAAACTGGGGGCAGCCCTTTAAGTGTCTCCATGATCCAGAGACGCCTTCCTTAATGCTGCTGGAGGAGCCAGAAGGAAGGGGCCAGGGTGTGGCGAGAGCTCACCAAGTCATACTCCTCCGGGTCTGCTGCCATGCCCCGCATCCCATAGCGGTGGGCGTCCTTGGACAGGCGGTTGGCAAACTCCTCGGCGGTCCCTGTCTGGGAGCCGTAGAACACGATGATGTTCCTGCCCTAGGGAAGGCCAGACATGAAAGGTCAGTAAGGGGCCAAGAACCACAGGCATCACTCGAGACTCCAGGTGATCGCAAGGGCAGGCCAGGCAGGTGGGGCCCCTCAAGGGCACCCTCTTTCCTTCCTGCTTCAAGTCCTTTGTAGGTCACTCTGGGCCTGGAATCTCACTGCCACAGCCACTGTGGTGGGTGGGGGCAAAGGCCATCCAGACGACTCCAGCCGGAACCATCAAGGTAATCTTACACATGCAGCTGCTCAAGGTCACACTCTGGACAGATTTTTAAATGACATGTGAAAATGGGGCCAGCCCGGTGGTATAGCAGTTAAGTTCCCATGTTCCGCATCAGAAGCCTGGGGTTCGGATCCTGGACGCGGACCTACTCACTGCTCATCAAGCCATGCTGAGGCGGCATCCCACATAGAAGAACTAGAAGGACCTACTACTAGGATATACAACTATGTACTGGGGCTTTGGGGAGAAAGAAGGAAAAAAAAAAAGGAAGATTGGCAAAAAAAAGGAAGGTGTTAGGTCAGGGCCAATCTTCCCCAAAAAAGAAAAAAATGATGTGTGAAAACACAGAGCACAGTGTTCAATTAAAAAAGGGTGATCAAGGGGCTGGCCCAGTGGCATAGCAGTTAAGTTCGTGCACTCCGCTTTGGCAGCCCGGGGTTTGCAGATTCGGATCCTGGGCGCTGACTGATGCACTGCTTGTCAAGACGTGCTGTGGCAGTGTCCCATATAAAGTAGAGGAAGATGGGCACGGATGTTAGCCCAGGACCAATGTTCCTCACAAAAAAAAAAAAAAAAAGGTGACGAAGGGATGGGTAGTGACATTAGCATCATGGTGGAGTGAGCTTTCCCCCTTAGACTCTCCCCCCCAAGATACAACAAAAAGGACACTCATATACCAACAGAGGACATTCACATACACAAAAGATGTCTGAGAGACCCACGCAGCTGCACATTTGAAGGTGGAGGTGCTGGAACCCCTGAGGAAATGGAAGGAGGTAAGGAGAACTCCTCTCCTTCCCCAATGACAGTGACCCTGGGACTGGGACCGTGCAGCTCTCTTAGAGAGAGCATGGGGGTAGCCCTCTGCAGGAAAACCATCACTCTCCAAGTTCTCTCACAGCCTGTGGGAAATTCCCATACAGAGCAGACTGAACTGTTGTGGGGGCGTCTTCATCAAGCTAGCACCCCAGGAGAGCAGATAGCGAGGCAAGAGCGAGAAGCCCCTGGAATCAGGCAGGTGAGAGAAAGAGCCCCTCCCCTCCGAGACCACGCAGCTCTGAGAGAGAGAGTCGGGGAGTGGCCCTCTGTGGGAAAACCATTGCTCTCCAAGTTCTCTCACAGCCTGTGGGAAATTCCCATACGGAGGGGACTGAACTGTCGCAGGGGTGCCTTCATCAAGCTAGCACCCCAGGAGAGCAGATAGTGAGAGAAGAGCAAGAAAACCCCAGGATCGGGTATGTGAAAGAGAAACCCCTCCCCTCACCCAGAGCACCAGCACAGCTGGTCAGCCAGAGCACCTGCAGATAGCGGCAGGCTCAGAATACACAGCTCTTGACCCCCACCCAGTGGTGGCAAGAGGAAGCTGCAACCAGATGTCTTCAGAATGAGGAAAAATAAGCCCACGCCCTCAAGCACTATGCAAAAATATATTAGATCTCCAGACCAGAAGGAAAATGACAAGCACCAGGAAATCAATCCCGAAGGCACAGAAATTTATAACCTACACGACAGAGAATTCAAAATAGCTATCACAAAAAAGCTCAACGAACTACAAGAAAACACAGATAGACAATTCAATGAAATCAGGAACTTCTTCACAAAAGAGACTGAAACTATAAAGAAAAACCAATCAGAAATGTTGGAGACGAAAAACACAATGGAGGAGATGAAAAATCTGGAATCTTTAAAGAACAGAGCTGACAATAGCAATATTGAGGATAGGAATGCAGCAGTGCTCCAGATGGAGGAGGAGAGAGAACTAAGACTAAAAAGAAATGAAGAAACTCTCCGAGAAATATCCAACTCAATTAGGAAATGCAACGTAAGGAGTATAAGTATTCCAGAAGGAGAAGAGAGGGAAAAAGGAGCAGAGAGCTTGTTCAAAGAACTAATAGCTGAGAACTTACCAAACCTGGGGAAGAGCTGGAAATACAAGTGAATGAAATCAATAGATCTCCTAAATATATCAACATGAAAAGACCCTCTCCAAGACATACAGTAGTAAAGCTGGCAAAAATCAATGATAAAGAAAAAATATTAAGGGAAGCAAGACAAAAAGTAAATAAATAAATAACATACAAAGGAACTCCTATCAGGCTCTCAGCCGATTTCTCGGCAGAAACTTTACAGGCTAGGAGAGAGTGGAATGATATATTCAAAATTCTGAAAAACAAAAACTTTCAGCCAAGAATACTCTATCCAGTGAAAATATCCTTCAGATATGATGGAGAAATAATAACTATCCCAGATAAATGAAAACTAAGGGAGTTCATTGCCACAAGACCCCCACTACAAGAAATGTTCAAGAAGGCCTTCATGCCTGAAAAAAAAGAGAGAAAGGGGATACAAAGCTTTCAGCAAGGAGAAAAATAGGTAGACAAAATCAGAAAAATTGTAGCTCTCTATCAGAATAGGTTATCAAACACTTAATTATAACACCAAAGATTAAGGGAAGGAAAAGACCAAAAACAAATATAACCTCATCACTTTAAACAGAAACTCACAACACAAGATGGAATAAATTGTGACAATAATAACTTAGAAGGGGAAGAGAAAAGGGGTGGAATAGACTTAGTCTAAGGAAATAAGAGGCCATCAGAAAATGGATTATCTCATCTATGAGATTTTTTTATACAAACCTCATGGTAACCACTAAACAAATAATCAGAACAGAGACATATATGAGAAATAAAGAGAAAACTAAGAAAATCATCATACAGAACTACCAAACTGAATTGGTGGTCCGAAACACACAGGATGAGAAACAAAGGAAATGCAAAAGAACTGGAAAATGAGCGATAAAATAGCAACATTAAGCACTCATATATCAATAATCACTCTAAATGTAAATGGATTGAATTCTACAATCAAAAGACACAGAGGGGGAGGATGGATTAAAAAATAAGATCTAACAATATGCTGCCTCCAGGAAACACATCTCAACTCTAAAGACAAACACAGGCTCAGAGTGAAAGGATGGAAGACAATACTCCAAGCTAATGGCAAACAGAAGAAAGCAGGTGTTGCCATACTTATTTCAGACAAAGCAGACTTCAAGATAAAACAGGTAATGAGAGACAAAGAGGGGCAATATATAATGATAAAAGGGACACTCCACCAAGAAGACCTATCACTTATAAATATATATGCATCTAACACAGGAGCACCAAAGTACATAAAGCAACTATTCACAAACCTAAAGGGAGATATTAACAACAACACAATAATAGTAGGGGATCTCAACACCCCACTTACGTCAATGGATAGATCATCCAGACAGAAAGTCAATAAGGAAATAGTGGACTTAAATGAAAAACTAGACGAGATGGACTTAATAGATATATATACAGAGCACTCCATCGAAACACAGCAGATTACACATTCTTCTCAAGCGCACATGGAACATTCTCAAGGATAGACCATATGTTGGGAAACAAGGCAAGCGTCTATAAATTTAAGAAGACTGAAATCATAATAAGCATCTTCTCTGACCATAATGCTATGAAAGTAGAAATCAACTACAAGAAAAAAGCTGGGAAAGTGACAAAGATGTGGAGACTAAACAACATGCTACTGAACAACCAATGGGTCACTGAAGAAATTTAAGGAGAAATCAAAAAATATCTGGAGACAAAAGAAAATGAAAACACGTTATACCAACTCATATGGGATGCAGCAAAAGCGGTCCTGAGAGGGAAACTCATAGCAATCCAGGCCCACCTTAACAAACAAGAAAAATCCCAAATAAGCAACCTTAAACTACACCTAACAGAATTAGAAAAAGAACAAACAAAGCCCAAAGTCAGCAGAAGGAGGGAAACAATAAACATTAGAGCAGAAATAAAGAAATTGAAACCAAAAAAACAGTAGAAAAGATCAATGAAACAAAGAGTTTGTTCTTTGGGAAGATAAATAAAATTGACAAATCCTTAGCCAGACTCACTAAGAAAAAAAGAAGGCTCAAATAAATAAAATTAGAAATGAAAGAGGAGAAATTACAATGGATACCACAGAAATACAAAAGATTATCAGAGAATACTACGAAAAACTATATACCAGGCTGGCCCCGTGGCTTAGCGGTTAAGTGCGTGCGCTCTGCTACTGGTGGCCCGGGTTCGGATCCCGGGCGTGCACCGACGCACCGCTTCTCCGACCATGCTGAGGCCACGTCCCACATA